TATATACTTTTTTTATAAAATTGAAAAGATAAATAGGTTTAATGAAATGATAAAATTTTATTTTATCCCGTAAACTTCATATAAAATTCTAATTATGGATTTTTTTTGTAAATCTAAAATAGTTTAAGGATAAATTTGTAATTTAACCTTCGTATAATTTTTATTATTTAACGACAGAAAAAATGATATTTTTGAAAAGAAAAAAAATTTAAAGGCATTTTAATCCAAAACATCGGTAATCCAATAATACCTAAGGGAAGAAGGTAATCACATTCTCAATAATATACCTCCAAAATACTACTGTTGAAAATAAAAGATTATCGAAGAATATAATTAGTCGTAAACCAAACGAAAAAATTACATTCCACTTCCCTGTAATCTAGAATGACTCCAATCAAAACCCCTAATGATATCATATAATAATTCTTAACATTGTCACGTCATAAAACGTTATATTTATATATGTTTAAAATTAAGAAAATATCATACTTCAATTTTTTAATAATAAAGACTTCTTTTATTGAGCTGACAATATTCATTATATGGTCTAAGCCTCTAAGGTTGCCTTTACTTATTTTTCTTGAACAGAGTTCCTTCGTTTGGCATTTAAACCACTTCCCATAATCACTACTCTCATATTTGTCTCTTTCAAAAAGGCTTCTACTGATTATTATGTAAACAAAACAACTTTTTGTGGGCTCTCCTCCTTAATTATATATATATAATATAAACCCACATTTGTATTTTTTTAAAACAAAGCTTAAATCTTTGATGCTTCAACAAATGTTTTCCATGTTAAAGTGAGAAACTTGAGCAATGGTGAGGAAATGGGTTTTTTCCACTCTCATTTTTCTGCTTCTCTTTAATGGATTTTCCTCAGTTTCTGCCACCCCACCTGCAAGTAAGCCTGAAGAAAAGGTTTCACCATTTTTTTCACTGTTTTTTGTTTTAAATTTTGCTTTGCATTTTACCTTCTTTTTTGTTGTTGCAGAAGTTGTAACCTCAGTTGTCTCAAATGTGGTGTCTGTTCTTGTTAAATGGCTGTTGTCACTAAAATCAGAACCCAAAGCTGGTAACCTCACTTCAAAGTTCCAATCTTTTATCCTAATTCCTCTGCTTTTTGGGATTTTTAGTCTTATCTTTATGTGATCTAAAGATATGTGTGTTTTTAGCAAATGGAATTGATGATATTTGTTCTTTTTTTTTTAGCTGTTTCGAGCCGTTCCATGATGAAATTTGAAGGTGGATACACTGTGGAAACAGTTTTTGATGGAAGCAAGCTTGGAATTGAACCATTTTCTGTTGAAGTTTCCCCCAAGGGAGACCTCCTGGTGTTGGATGCTGAAAATAGTAACATTTACAAGATTTCGATGCCATTGTCTAGGTGTAAGTTAATTATTGAATAATATTTTTCTCTGGGGTTCATGATTTGTGTTCACTGCCAAGCCTCGCATTCAAATTTATTTGATTAAAACTAGAAATTTTGGCTCTTTTGATTAATTTTTGTTCTATGAGGTACTTAGTTTGGCCTCTTTTCCTGTAAGTTGTCCAAATATTCTTAACTTATTACTTAATCAAGGTTGTGAATGAATTTGATGTACTTTTGTTGAGGAATACTACTTTTAAATGGATAGTTGCATCTTATGTTGCTTTGACTCTTCATTTTCTGTAAGAATTTGTATTTGACATATATCGATGATGTGTGATACTCACATTCGAGTTTGAGTAACATATAGGTGACATTTCCTTTTAGATTTAGTCTTTTTCTTTTTGCTTTTTTATTCAAAGCTGACATTGTCTATTGAACACTTAAACTTCTAATTTACGCATGTTATCTGGCCTTTTATCTTTCTAGGCCTTATGTGAATGTACTTTCACTTTTTAAACAATATTTGAGTAATGTTCAGACTTGAGCTTCTTTATGAAGCTTAAATACTTTGTTGATTCGAGTGAGTCGTTCGAGTTCACTTTGAAGTTTTAATTTTGGGATCACTTGAAGTTTATGAAAGATGGTGAAATGTTTAGACTTTACTTTGTGTTCTTAGACTGTCAAATGCATGGATTCGCTTTTCTGCATTTGGTTTTCCTTGATTTCTCCAACCTAATCCTGTTCATTTTCTTGATGTTCGGTTAATATTCATACTATATACATTTACTGATATTCTATGCCAAACTACAGATAGCAGACCTAGGTTGCTTGCTGGATCATCGGAAGGGTACTCGGGGCATGTAGATGGGAAACCACGAGAAGCTAGAATGGATCATCCGAAAGGGCTAACAGTGGATGACCGTGGAAATATATACATTGCAGACACAATGAATATGGCTATCAGAAAGATCAGTGAATCAGGTGATTCAGGCAATGCTCAAGGAATTTCCGATAATTAAAGTTCGGCTACCTTGCCCTAAGTTTTGTAGATTCGAATTCGGTGAAATAAAATGCTATTCTGACATAATGTCTTAGCTGAAATTGTTTTATATCTTTATGTAGGGGTTACAACTATTGCTGGAGGAGGAAAATGGAGCCGAGGAGGCCATGTTGATGGTCCTAGTGAAGATGCAAAATTTTCGAATGATTTCGATGTGGTTTACGTTGGAAGTAGCTGCTCTCTTTTGGTTATAGATAGAGGAAACCAGGCAATTCGTGAGATTCAACTAAACGATGATGATTGTTCATATCAGTATGATGGCAGTTTTCATTTAGGTATGTCTCTTTCGAGCTAATCTCGATTTCGTTGCCCTTTAAGATCATCAAAATCTTTTAAGATACGGGTTGATCGTTATAGGTATAGCAGTGCTTGTTGCCGCTGCCTTCTTCGGTTACATGCTCGCCTTGGTACAGCGTAGGGTACAGGCAATGTTCTCTTCCCATGTTGTAAGTGACCTGATGTTTTATGTTTTATGCGAATGGATCAAAGGTCACAGATATCCAAATTCTCTCCTTTCTCGGATGATAGTGTTGATATGAATGTTAGGACTTGTTCTGATACACGCTTTGTTATGATAAGTTTCTGAAATTCCGAACTCCACGTGATGTCACTGAACAAGTTCCGATCTTTGTAGGACTTGAGAACTCCGATAAAGAGAGGAGCAATGATGGCACCTGTGGCACCATATCAGAGGCCTCCTAAATCAGTCAGGCCTCCATTAATTCCTCCTGAAGATGAACCTGAAAAAGCAGAAGAGGGCTTCTTCGGTTCAATCGGCAGGCTCGTCCTCAACACTAGTTCATCCGTGGCCGAACTCTTGGGGGGATTATTTTCTGTATTCAGAAGGAAGCCTCAGTATTATCAATTTCAACATCCGTACCAGCAATCATCCATGCATCCAAGAGCATGGTCCATGCAGGAAAGCTTTGTCATTCCTGACGAAGATGAGCCACCATCCTTAGATACTCGAACACCGACACCGAAGAGAAGTTACCCATTTCCGACCAAAGATCTGGAAAGGGAACACCAGATCAAGCAAAGTAGGCCTTATAATAATGGATGGGATGTTGATTATCCTCAACAGCAGCAAATGCATATGCATCACCGTCCTCAACAGCCGCAACAGCAGCGCTTGCAGAAGCATTATTCAACAAACCCGCAAACATATTACGAGAAGAACTGTGAGACAAACGAGATCGTTTTCGGGGCAGTTCAAGAACGGGATGGAAGACACGAAGCCGTGGTGATAAAGGCTGTAGACTATGGGGATCCGATTTATAGTCATCACAACCTTCGACCTCGTTTGAATTACATGGGTTACTCCCATGGCTATTGACCATTTGGTCTATTGTAATCAAATGAAAGTAAAACAAAGGTACTTTAAAGTTTATATGAATGCCATGAACATGGAGCAGATGTAGGTATGATGCAAGTTTTTACAATTGTTTTTCTTTTTCTATTATAATCCTAAATGTTAAGACCTATCTTGTATTTATAGGAAAAACTATTTGATCACCAAAAAACTTACTCCATAAACTTTTTACCTAAATATATTGAACAATCAATTAGTTTTCTACCACTGGAATTATAATAAAATTATATTTAATTATAACTAAAATTTGAGTAAATATGTATATGTTTGATGAACTTGGGAGATGACACTATCATTTCTCAACTGTCTTTGTTGGACACTTCCTTTTAACTCATGTGGGAATCTTAAAACAAAAACACCCGAATTCTAAAACATAAATATATGCATATTCTGTAGAATTATTGCAGCCCATGTTTTAAGCTAGAATATACCCTAATATTGATTAATAAAATTAAACAATGTTTAAGAATAGATGATAATGTATTTATTTTGATCCACAGGATTTATATTAATGAGCATTTGTTTGTTCTTTCCTCTTTCTGCTCACTCTGACTCAAAGATTTGTAGCCAAGTGTAATCACTTCCTCAAACTTGCTGCAATTTTGACTCATCACAAAAAATAATTTAATCCATAATTAGATCTGACCACGATACTGGTGTCATTCATATATTTTTATCTAAATCATATTTGAAAATATTCTCTTGCTATTTAAATTTTAACATACTGTATTTTAATGGTGATCTGATTTTTAAATAGGAAGAGAATTGATTGAATTTAATGTTTGGGTGATTTCAATAAGGGCCACATGGGAAGAACAAAAAGGACCCACAAATTAGCTTGCATGCTACTGCTACAAGCCAAGAATTTGAATTAACAGGCTGATCACAAGAATTAAATTAAAAATAAAACAAAAAGAAAACAGATTTATAATCTCTCTTTATGCTTATTTCATTTTATTTTGCAGAATTCATAAGACATTATCTTAGACTTAGAAGATTAAATTAACCTGTGCAATTAACTAAAAAGCTGTCATGATGCTAAAAGGACCGGATGATATTAGATAGCTGAGCTGCGCAAAATCATGGAAACTATATGTATGAATATCTTCTGTTACAGAAATATGACAGCATGAGTTTCAGTAGTACAAACGGCCTTTTTTTCCTACACGAATTCTATTCCTTTCGTTCCATTCAAGTTCTACAACAAAAGCAAATGGCTATGGTGATTGGTGAGTAACTTTTCAAGTATAAGATTTCAGAACAAAAAACATGTGACATAAGAGCAAAGGTAAAGCACAATAAGCTTTGACCTGATCAATTGAGTAAGGATTACATTAACCTTTCATTGTTCTTGTGATTTCTTCAGCCATGGTAGGTCTGAGTAAAGAGAAGATGGCATACCAATTTGAGCATCCGAAGAACTTGAGAATTGGCCTTTCTTAGACCAAAGCCAGATCTTGGAAACCGAAAAGCTTTCCCCTTTACTCATACTACTGATCCTTTTCTCTTCGGCATCTCTTTCGGTCGATGAATTCCCATTATGTTCCAAGCCTCTTGATAGCTTAATACCATTGCCCAGGGGCTGGCCGCTTTGTCGACCATTAGAGAGGGTAACCCTCAGATCTGAATTGCCTAGCACATACTGATATGAACCCATTGAGAAACACCTCCTTGCATCTAAGTTGCTGCTACTGGTTTCACCCCCAGCCGCATCTGGTTCACCACTTAGCCTTCTGAATTTCCCTAACCTAACAGGCAAAACCCCTTTGTCCACATTAACTTCTTCCATCTCCACTGTTTTCTGACTAGGAGTGCATCCATTTTCACCATGACCAGCACACAATTCATCTTCCCTCATGTCATCAAAATCAAAGACTGGATTCTCCATTGAAAACTCAGGAGTGAAAAGGGTGGCTCTACAGAGAGGGCATGTTGAATTCGACAACAGCCAAGTGTCAATGCAGTTTATATGAAAAGCATGGCTACACATAGGAAGCAATCTCAGCTTATCTTTCTCAGAGAACTCACATAAACAAACGGCACAGTCAAAGGGCTCCTTGGGACCAACTATTTCTTTGTAATGAAAAACAGGTAAAGCGTCAATGAAAGCTTGATCTAAGCCGGAATCATGGAGGTGAAACAGCTGTTGCAGCTGTCTTCGAAGAGCATCAGAGGTGGACATTTCAGTGTATCTATTATTAGATTGAGAAGATGTAGATGAAGATGGATGTTTTATAAGGAATCTAACAAGCAGATTGAGGAGACCATAGATTAAAAACAGAACAGCCAAGATCACAATAATGAAAAGAACAGCAGGACTAATTCTAGTACCAGAAGATGACGATGATAAAGGGTTTGAATCTCTATGAAAATCTGTAGCAGTTAAAGGAGATGGAGGAAGAGGGGGTGGATATTGAAAGTAACCATCTTTTTGCTTGATTTGCTGCTGCTGATGATGATGAACCCAATACATCTTCAAATGGCTATGCCCCAAAAAAACATAACTCTCAAACCCCAAAACAAAGCCTAAAATGAAATTCAAACCTCAAAACAAAACCTTTCCTTTTCACCAACACATGAACATCATATTCACCACAAATTTCCTTTTCTTTCTTTATATCCTCCACAAGCAAAACTCTTCTTTTTTTCCCAGCAGTCCATGAAACTAACATTAAAAAAAGGGTCTCTGATATTTACCCCAGGAGGAGGCCTTAAAATGGAAGAAAGAAGAGGAGAGTGAATAAGGGGAATCTAATCTCAGTATTTATCAAAACCCAATGTCAAAAAAGACTTCGACTTTTGTTTTTCACTCTTTTTTAAAGGTGAGTCCTCTCCTCCCCTTCACCTGGAGAAGGATCACGTTCCGCAGTGCAATATACGATTAAGGAACGAATGTTATTATTTTTTTAATATTTTTGATAAAAATTTATTTAAAATATATTATTTCTATTATAAATATTATTATTAGGTGCTTTATCACATTTATTAATATATTCGATAAAATATTATTATTTAAAATATTATTTTTTATCAAAAAAATATTAATATTAAATATTTTATTGAAAATATTAAAAATATTAATATTTTAGTAAAAAATAATTTTTTAAATAATTTTTTATTAAAAATATTAAAAAATAATAATATTTTTTATAACATCTTTCTGTACATGGCAGAAGTTCCTCCTTCACCTCCCCGTCACTTCCCTTTCTAGTTATTGGTGTAACCGAGAAAAATACAGCAATAGGAGAGAGCGGCAGAACAGCGGCTGTAATTGTCCAAGTGAGAGAGAGGTGCTAAAGTTTAGGGTAAATTACCTATTTAGTATCTCACTTATTTTCATGTTTTTTTAGTAACTCAATTGTATATTTTAATAAAATTATATATCTAATGTTATATTTAATTTCTATTTTGATCACCGACGTTAACAGAGACAATGACATAACATGGTATAATAATAATTTTAGTACTAAAACTGATATATTTTAACAATTAGGTCCTAGTTTAAAACAATTTATCAAATTTAGTCATCATTTTAAATATTTGGACCAAACTTCAAGTTTCCCAATTTCTCATCCTCTTTCTCAATTTCCCAATGCAAGATCAGGCAACGACAGTACGTGACACCGACAAGAAACTAAGGAGGCAATCGCCACATCAACCGCCAGTCACATCCTACGTCCGTCCACCACCATTTTCATCTGCGAAAATGTCATCTACTTCCCCCAATAAATCATGGATTCTGTCTAAAACACCCATAACATCTTCATCCTCTCCATGGCAAGACTATGATACATCATCATTTATCAATTAGTTCGTGTTTCTTTTTCTTTATCAGTATTCATCAATTAGTTCAAAGAGAATAATTTGTGATCAAAACAAAAAATATGAAAATAGAGGAGATATCAAATAAATAATTTACTTTTTGAAGGATGCGAAAGAGAAGCACCGGAATTTCGACCCCACCTTCCAATGAGAGCGCGGGGTTCAAACAGTAAACTACAATCAGACAAGTTTGAAGCTGTTCTATTCATTCGTTTATGTTTGGTTTTTCATTTTCCTTCGAGAGGTTAGGCTAAAATGTCCTAAAAATCTAAAAAGTTTATTTAGTTCTATTTAATGATGTTGGGTTTTGGGTTTCAGATTGATGGGTCTTTGATTAATAACATGACAATGACTTTTTCTTTACAAAAATTACATGTTTATTGGATATATATGTGATAATAATTGTATTATATATGATAATGATAATTTAGGTGAAAAATCATATCAAACACGTCAATACAATTATTTTAATTAAGAATTGAAAACATTTTTAATTATGTATGGTACATAGATCTTTTATAAAAGCGATTGAACTTATAAGAATAGATTTAGGATTATTTTATATTACAAATAGATGTAATATTTTATGTTTAAGAATTAATTTATAAAATCTATAAAATTTTAAGAGTAACGAATTTATAAAATTTAATATATATATATATATATATATATTTAAAAATATATTAAAATTTAAAATTTAAAGTTTTTGAAGTTTCTTAAAGTCTTCGAATTATTATATCTTTCGGAGTTTCTTAAAGTTTCGAAAATTTCATGTCCATTGGATAACTAAATCTCTTTGATGTGACTTCTAGAAGACTCATATAATTTATCAAAGTTAAATTTATTATCCAACAGTCATATATATTTATCATGCCAATTTATAAAGAGAAAATCGCCTCAGTGATCAAAAATGCCTTATAATATACGATTTTAACCAACTTTTTTTGGATTTGCCAAAATGACCAACAAAATCGCAGTGCGAAATAAAAATCGCAATGCGATAGTACAAATTCGCATTGCGATTTTCCAGAACCGCAACGCGAATATGAAAATCGCAACGCAAACATATAAATCGCAACGCGATTCTTACTATCGCAACGAGTATCCGTAAAATCGCAACGCGTATCCGTAAATCGCAATGACAATACGTAAAATCACAACGCGTATCCGTAAATCGCAACGCGATTTTTAAAGCGCCATTAGAATCGCTACGCGTATTTTTATTTTCAAATTCCAAACACGAATATTAAGAGAAAATCCCGTAATCGCAACTCATAACCTAAAATCACAACTCAGTCCCATCTCCATCTCTCACTCTCTACGGCGAAATCCGTCCCCATCTCCGAAGATTTCCGTCCCCATCTCCGGCGAAATCCCTCACAACCATTCACGGTCAAAAATCTCTCACAATCATTCAGAAATGGAAAATCAACCTCCGAGGGTTAGTTTTTTTAATTATTTTTATTTTGAAAATTTTGCATTATTTTAGGTTTTTCATATTGAAACTGGTGATAAGTTTACTGGTAATTTCAATAATAGATTAACCATCTCGCGTTGCGATTTTCATTTCGCGTTGCGATTCTCTCGTTGCGATTTTCATTTCAACCAAAAGACAAAACAATGTTGCAAATTTTAGTTTCAAGAATAAACTACTATTTATGTTTATTATTTTTGGTATATATTCACAGTGTAGTTTTTGGTATATCTAACTTGGTATGTTTATTATTTTTGTAGAAATTTTTTTCGGCTTCATTGACATTAAGGAATAAAGTTAGCCTAGCCACTACAATTGCTTCGAAGCTTTCACCTGCACAAAGAAAATTATTTGAGGAAACATGCTTCGGGCCATGGCTGAGAGTACAACATCCGGGTGGAGATGCTAATTTGACCCATTTGTGGCCTCAGACCATGACTAGCGATCTACCCGACAGTATACAACGTGGTGAGAAAGAGATATGGTTTCATTTTCCACCGGCGTATACTTGTTTTGGGCGGAAGGAGTTCTGCTTAATCACTGGTCTACGATTCGGACACGATGATGTAGGCCGGTACACTCGTCATATCGCCCGCCCATCATGGTTAGCCCGGGTTTTTCCTGATGAGTCAATAGAGAAGCCGAACCTACACGTCGACGACCTGAAGAAATTGTTTAATAAGAAAGATGGTTTCACTCGGATGGATGACGTCGATGTTGTCCGAGTATGCCTTCTAGTACTTTTGTATGCCGTCTTTTTAGGCAGAGAGGCCAGACAACCTATTCCTCAGGAGCTAATATTATTGGTAGAGAACCTGAATGCATGGAATCTGTTTCCATGGGGTTCGTATATATGGAAATCTACCTGGACTAAGTTGTCGTCTGCCTTTGATGACCGCAAAAGTTTGCGTGGCGATGGGTCGAAATACACTTTGTCAGGCTTTGTTTGGGCCTTTAAGGTAAGAATTTCTATATAATGTTTCCAAAATTATAATTAATTATTTTAACAATTACTAATGTTTGTTATTATATTGTTTGTAGATTTGGATATTCGAGGCTTTCCCCAGCATGCAGACATATGCAATAAAAACATCAAATGATATTCCCAGGGCTATTTCCTGGAAGAGGAAAAGTCTGTTGGATTGGGAAGACTTAATATCATATGCGACAATAAATAATGTAAGTTAACACAAATAATTTCATATATAAACAAGTTATTAATAGTAGACGTTTAACTTTGTTTGAGTTTTTATATTGTTAGGAGGCCAACACTCCATTACAAAGACTGACACCCACGGAGGATGAGCTTGCCACTGATTGATGGCAAGCTAGTCAGCGTTTTTTTGATGGCACGGATGATGAGCAGCATCCACTTCCTCCACTTCGAGAGCCATCACCTATCCCGTCACATCATCGAGCCTCTTCTCCACCATCACCTCATGATAGGCGACCGGCAAAGATGCCATGACTTCTATCTCCCTGTTCTCCACCTCCACCTCCACGGGATGAGTCAAGGGAGTTACGTGATGAGTTCAATGTCTTGCGTGAGGAGATCGGTACTCTACGCGATAACGATGGTGCATGGCGTGTGGAGGTGTCTACTTTACATGGTGAGGTTGTCGCTCTACGTGAGATGGTAGTATCGTTGCAGAATGAGGTTCATACTCTACGCAACGAGGTAAGTTTAAGATTTTCCATATTTAACTTGATGATAAATTTACTCGTAATTTCACTTAGATTAACCATTTCACTTAGATTGCTTAGTAAATTTATTCAGTTGCTGCCAATACTGCTAAACTGTTTATTCTTTAACACTGTGAAGTTAGTATTTGTCTTTTGTTTTGTCTTTTGGTTGAAGTAAATTTATTCGGTTGCTGCCCATTCTGCTAAACTGTGTATTCTTTAACACTGTGAAATAGTATTTATCTTTGTTTTGTCTTTTGGTTGAACTAAATTGTGTATTCTTTAATACTCTGAAGTTAGTATTTGTCTTTGTTTTGTCTTTTGGTTGAAGTAATGCAATCCATTCAAGTTTCAATTTGCAGAAGAAGAAATAGTTTACTTTCGCAACACGAAACTTAAAATCGCAACGTGAAAAATGACTATCGCAACGCGAAATGAAAATCGCAACGAGAGAATCGCAACGAGAAATGAAAATCGCAACGATAGAATCGCAACGCGAAATGAAAATCGCAACGCGAAACCAAAATCGCAACGCGAAACTATAATCGCGTTGCGATTTTGGTTTCGCGTTGCGATTCTATCGTTGTGATTTTTATTTCTCGTTGCGATTCTCTCGTTGCGATTTTCATTTCACGTTGCGATAATCATTTTTCACGTTGCGATTTTAAGTTTCGTGTTGCGAAAGTAAACTATTTCTTCCTCTGCAAATTGAAATTTGAATGGATTGCATTACTTCAACCAATAGACAAAGACAAATACTATGATAGAAACATATTTGTCTTTGTTATCTGATGCATTTTGTGAACTATGATAGAATAATGACTTGGGTGAATACAATGCAAGTTTGA